CTGCTCCCTGCGATGGCTCTGTTGAGATCTGTTTACCCAGAACATGTTTTGCCGCTGGTTTACTCCCTCAGAAAACAAATCTTCTGAAATCTGGAGTCATTATCCTGCCCTTTTCGGTGCAACTCGTCCTCCAGGAAGGCTGAATTTGTGGTTGCTATTAAAGAGTGGTTCAGCTGCAGTTCTTACACAAACCACTTCAAAGTGTCCTTTACAGTTAGCGAAGAACAGTTGTCTGGTGTGAAAGCAGTTGCTGCTGGAGGCTGCTTACGTGTGGAGAAACTCGCTCTGACCCTGGGTTCTGCTGTGGCCGTCAGCCAGGGGCCTGCGTGTAGCTGAAGTTAACCAGTTAATCTAGTAACTTTGCAATTCAATTCAGTTATCTGATTAATATTCCCTGCCATTATGCCTGCAACATCCTTTTCCTGCTCTGAAAGCCTCAGATACAATCCTGCCAGCGGAGCGGGGGAGGGATTGACGCCCACTCGGATCCCTCGTTGTTCCTGACATTTCTCTCTTCAGATTCTGGGAAATGTTTTAATTCTTACCGACTGCCACTATTGTACTTAAGCAAATGGCCATATAACCAGAAAAGCTTTATTTGGACTTCTAAAGGTATTTGAAGTTTATTGACAGAGGGAAAGCATTAAAGTCCGTAATTTGATGTCTAAATTGTGGTAGGTGTCTCGCCTGTGTTCTGCAGAAACAATAATCTTAACAAGATAGACACAGAAGATGGAAGTAACATGTTTTAAAATTTTTCTATTATTCTCTATATTCCTGTTCCATTTTCTCCCGTGGAAGCTCCAGCAGTGCGTTGTTACAAGGAATATAAATGAATAAACAGATGGATGAAATGGTGAAGGAAAGCTGTGAGGCGTGCTGAAGACTGAAGCCCGGAGGAGACGGGGTGAAAGTCCAAACCGTTCCAGATCTTCTGAAAACGAGGACTGCAGCTTGCTGGGTACGCAGGGACGTTGGCCGTCGGGAGGTCACGCGAGGTCGGTCGCTCCTCACCACCCAAACGCTGCTCCTGGATTGCATTCCTTCACGTTACGAACTCTGGTTACGCAGCTCAAAGCCCCGACGTTTGTCTGGTTTCAGGCAATATTGCCATGGAAATTAATGAGGACTCTGGGTAGTCAATCCTTTATTATTAATAATAACTAACTTAATGTACGATTAAGTGGGGAGCAGTGCAGGGCTGATGTATACAAGAAAAGACTCAAAGCGCCTCTGGGCCCTGCTGTAGCACGGTGCAGGCCCCTGGAATTTCAGCAGGCAGCGACTTGCTCTGGTTTCTTCCCTTTGCACCCTGGAGAGCGAACACCCGTGAAGCGGTCCTGGCTCCCTGCTGCCCAGCAGCCCTCATCGCCACAGCTTCTGTCCTAAGGAGGGGAGATTGATCGTTAGGAGCTCTCAGCCGGGCAGGACATGCATTCAGTCAAGGTCCTGCTGCTAAGCAGAAAGCGTATTAAAAGTGTGTGAAAGAGGGATGAGATTTTGAGTTAAGATGTACTGAAGTTTTCCAAGAGCCACCGCCTGATAAATCAGTCCCATTTGAGTCGGTGGAATTTTTTATGTACCACTGGCTATGTCAAAATAAATGCCTGCTTCCTAAAGCTTTAAAACCATGAAAAAGGTCCCAGATGAGAACATTTCTGGCTAAAATAAGCCTGATGACTGACAAACAGCTAACAGGACAGAGCTGTGCCCTGGGGACATACGATCCTGGCTTACACACAGTCCTTATTAAACGCGTTATAGGTGCTTAACTAGGTGTCGGGGTTGTTCCTTCCCCTGTCAGTCTGGGGAGCCAGTCTCTGGGGTGCTGGGTGAGGGGTGGTCCGAATCCCTTCACTCCTCTGAAAACCAAGCACACAGGTTGAGTCCTCCAGACACGAACCCGAATGTGCTCAGCCGTAACAGCTGCGCGTATTTTTAAGAGCTCCTTGTATAGTCCGTGCTGGGGCAGCGGTACACAGGAGGAGACGTCTCTCCACGCATCTCTGGAGATCTCAAAGCCCTGTGTAATGGCAGGGAGGATACTAATAACCCCAGTATGCAGAGAGAGATACTGAGGGTCACAAAATGCTACAGGAGAAGTCACGCAGTAAGTCAGTAAGAGAAAGCAGACCAGAGCTCTTCACTTCCAGGGCGATCCCCTTACTCCCGAACACTGCTGCCTTCTAGGTCCGCAGTAGTTTTCCACCACTGACAAGACTGGAAACAGGGTAAAATAGCTCCCGGCCAGCCTGCGTTCAGAGGCGAGATGTTAATGCACAAAACCCACAAGGCGTTAAACTCTCATGCTGAGATTTTTATTCGGGATTAAACTGGCCCTAGTTTACTGCAGTTCAGTGCAGTATAAGTGAAGGTGTATTAACTTTGTACCATTATTTCATTTATCTGAACTTTCCCGTGTGTCACGGTGTAGAAAATGACCTTGGAGCCTGGAGCCCTTGATGTTTTGGTGCCACAAACAGGCAGAAACATATTTTTTCCTTTCTTCCCAACTGACTGACAGGAAAATTGAATTGTAGGCTGGGAGCTGGCCAGAGACACCAGCTGCCAGCACTCGGGCAGCTGACATCAGCGCACAGGCTCCGCTGACCACAGGTTACGCAGACGACCGTTAGCAAACAGGACCAAGTCCTAATTCATCAAATACATGAGTCGGGACGAGCGTGCGGAAGGCATCCCAGCCCTTACTCACATCCTCTCACTGCAGAGCCCACAACCATCCGAGGCTCCCTGCACCGAACCCGGAGTCCCCGCTCGTAAGCAGCGCCGTGCTAAAGCAAAGCTGGGCAGGGGGTGCCGGGGGGGCCAGCACAGAAATAATCAAAGCCTGAGGAGCCGGCGGGGTGTATGTTCTGGGTCAAGCATCAGATCCAGCGCTTGTTGGGTATTTGTGACACCCAAGAGGTTGATAGCAGTGTTCTTGGGGGAGCGTGAGGAGGGGGAGACACCGTTCTGAGGCTCCCACAGGACGATTTTACCCCTCAGACATCAGGAGGTGACGTGGGGGGGGCAAAATGCCAAAGGGAACTCCTCCCTTCACCACTTTTTTTCCAGCATGAAGGAAAAATCGCTTGGATGATAACTTACTCGCTGGGGGTATTTTACTGCTGCTGAAGATGTCACGCTCAATCACAGAGGG